GGGGAAAAGAGGTGGAAAAAGGACAAAAAAAGAGCAGAAAAAAGGGGAGGAAAGGGGAAAAAAGGGGGAAGGAAAAAGGGGACACACGGAGCTCGCCCCATAGAGCCCCCTCCCCACCCATCCAGCGCCACAGCGTCAGGTCCCAGCACCGAGAGGGGTCCAGCAGCACCCGGGGGGCTCAGCCAGGGAACACCCCCGACCCCCCTCACAGCACACCCCTTGCCCGCCTCAAAAACATTTAAATTATATATATAAAAAAAAAACCAAAACAAAACATTAAAACCCCCCAAATTGTGCGCACAGGGTTTCTATTTCACAAAAAAAAAAAAAAAAAAAAATTCTGCTTTTTAACTCTCCCCCCTCTGCCCCCGCCAACACGATCCAGAGGGGGGGGAACTCCCCAAAGACGGGGGAAAACACCCCAAAAGTGGCTCCCAGGTGCTTCCAACTTCCCGGTTCCCGTCTGGCTCCGACAAAACCCGCTGTTTATCCCGTTTTCTAACTAAACGCAACACGAAGGCAGCGGCGAGTGAGTCCTGGGGGGACCCCCGGGCACCAGGACTGGGCCCTGGTGATCCCCACGGCGATATCCCAAATCCCAAGGCCACGGGAGTGGAGCAGCCGCTGGGGAGCCTCGGCCGGTGCCAGCGCGGGGGGGACGAGTCCGGGGAACGTTCCAAAACCCAAGAGAACAAAACTGGGATCGCAGAGGAACGAAACCATCCGTCGGCACGGAGCGGGCGGTGAGCCGGTGACGGCGGAGCCTCTGGTGGCACACGGAGCTCCCGGAGGTGTTCAGAGCTCCCGGCATCTCCGTTACTTCCGACAGGTCCGGTGCGGCGTCTGCTTCTTCTGCACCTCCAGCCGGCAGCGGCTGCGCTCATCCAGCCACGGCAGCTCGAAGTTCCTGCGGGCACAGACGGTGTCACCACAGCACCAGACTGACCGGTGCCCTCCTGGGGGTGACACCAGACTGAGGCCCATCCCATCCCTGTCCCTCGTGCCCCCTGTACTCACTGTGGGGTCAGTTTGGGTAGGGGCCGGCCAAAGGCGACGACGGGCAGGTACGGGGTGATGAGCAAACTTTCCACTGCAGAGAGACACCAGAACATGAGACCCCCCTGTCTGCACCCCAACAACCCCACCTGCACCCCAGCACCCCTGTCTGCACCCCAGTACCCCTGTCTGCACCCCAACACCCCTGAGCCACAGCTCACCGTCATCTGGCTCAGGGAAAAATGAGGTAACTTCAGGTTCCGACTCCTGAATCCCTTTCCTTTTGTACATTCGGAGCTGCAGCCGCTGCAGGATTCTCTGTTCCCTGATCCGCTGGATGTCCCACCTGGAAAAACGGGATGGATGGGAAAGTGAGGAGCCACGGGCAGTGAGGATCCCGGGGGGATCAGGGGGCTGTGCCGGCTGCCAGTGACATAGGAACATCCCTCCTCCCACAGCATTCCTGGCTCCCACCCCAGTTGCACCCTGTCCCATCCTCCTGCTCCAGGTGACACCCCAAGACCCTCCTCTGCGGGACCAGGGACCCCAGACCCCCCTCGGTCTCCTTGCTCCCACCTTTTCCTTCGTTTCTCATCCAGCTCCAGCTTCGCATGCCGTTTGGAAAAGACGCTGTCGTCCAGGTTCTGCAACGACACCGGACAGGGATCAGCACGTCATCCCGGTGCCAGATCCTGCTCCCACAGCCCCAGGAGGGGCTGGTCCTTTCCCCCCCCAGGTCCAGGAGTGTGGAACAGCCCAGAAGGCCCCTGTGGCACCGCCGGCTCCAATGGGAGCTCCACATACCTCCAGGAGGTCCGAGGGGTTGGGGTCTCTCAGGGGCTCCACGACATGGTCCCTCCAAGACGGAACTGCGGGACGAGAGGGAGGCTGTTACCCCACACTGGGACCTCCACACCCCCTGCCCCACCTTTCCCTCCTATCCCTCCCTCGGAGCACAGCTTGGGATCTCCCAAACCCTCATCCCAAGCCAGGCCAGGAGCTGATGGGGGCCTGGGAGGAGGCAGAGCTTGTCGTCACCCCTTTGGCCAAGCACACGAGCAAACCTGAGCCACTTCCAGGGATGTGCTGAGCTCTCCCCACGCCGGAGCACTTGGCCACCTGGCAGGACAGGTACCGGATTCAGGGACAGCGGGTGACCCCGGTGCTGTGGCACGGTGGCATGAGCCAGAGCACGTTTCCCAACCACCCTGGGGAAGTTGCTTCACCCCTCACTCCAACAGACACCAGCAGAGTGGGGCCAGGAGCCCTGCCCAGAGCGAGGTGAGCCGGAGACGAGATCAGGGAGAGCCCAGAGCCAGCACCCACCACCGTGGAAGGAGCCAGCAGCGTGGCACCTCTCCCAGCACCACGGGCACTCCCTTTGGGAATCTGGGAGCCCTGTCCCAGATTCAGGATGAAGGTGCTGAGCCGCATTCCCTGGCCAGCTCAGCCCTAGCAGCTTCTGCACCGTTCTCTCCATCCTTACTTGCTACAGTCTCCTCCTTTTTCGGGGAAGGCTCCCGCAGCGGCAGCGGCGACGGGGGCGGCTGGTGCCAGCGGCACAAGTACATTTCGGTGGTGGAGAGATAGGGCAGGTCGTCGGCCTCGCTGCCCAAGCCCTTCTCCTTGGGGTGGGTGCCGGGGCCCTTCGGCGGGGCCGAGGCCCGGAGCGGGGTCTCCAGGAGTGACCGGGGTTTTTCTGGAGTCTCTTGGCTCCGCAGTTCTCGTTTACAAACAGTTTCGGCCAAGGAGCCGCCTGACTCCTCCTTCCCCGGGGAGTGCTTTGGAGTTTTACTCTTCACTTTGGAGAACTCGGACACCAGTTTTTTAACGGGCGTCTTCCTCTCCGCGCTCCCAAACGTCGGCTTCCTGCGGGAGGGAGAGGAGCTGAGCCAGGCACATGGATCCTCACCCTGCACCGGGGCCACCACGGGGGAGTCCAGCACCCCCAAACCTGGGCTGTTGCATCAGGGTAGGACAGAGGCAGTTTCCAGAGGGCCTTCCCCGGAATTTTGGCCCCCCTCCCTCTCCCCCTAGGCTTTCACCAGGTTCTCCAGGATGCAGGGATGTATTCCTAGTGCTGGGCAGCCTCTCTGAGCAGCTCAAGGGTCGCTGGGAGCCCCATGGACAGAGGATAAAGCCATAGG